TAAGCATGACGTCATATGGTATGGAATGGCTTTGTGGTCAGTTGGGGTCAGCTGTCCCAGCTGTGTCCCCTCCCAGCTTCTTGTGCATCCCCAGCCTACTCGCTGTTGGGGTGAGAAGCAGAAAAGGCCTTGACTCTGTGTAAGCACCGCTCAGCAATAATGAAAACATCCCTGTGTTATCAACACTGTTTCCAGCACAAATCCAAAACAGAGCCCCATGCTAGCTACTATAAAGAAAATTAACTCTGTCCCACCCAAAACCAGCACATGCACATAAACAGATTTTTCCCTTTATTTTGTTTTCCACCGTTCTCATGCATGCACATAGCTCAACTGTGGAAGAACTGATATTTTTGTTAAGGAGACAAGAATGTTTTTCAGCCAAGAGGAATGTTTCGTAAATGCAAAGCTTGAACCTTTGTATGGCAACCAGTGGTCAGAGTCCTCTTGTCATTTCATTGATAGTCAGATGCTGCAATATCTGAAGCAGTACAATTGCAGTTTGTTTCTTTTTTCTTGGATTTTTTGGAGGGGTAATTTTTTGTTTCTTTGTTTGCTTGGGTTAGGGTTTTTTTTCCCTTCCCTGGTTGTAGTCTCTCTTCACTGGACAATCATTGTCTCTTTACCTAAATTGTTCACAACTTACTTTCATACTCTCTTCTTCCCTTAATTTTACCCATGCCTGTCCATTCTTTCTAAAGAGATTTTTTTTTTTCCTTGTGTTAGTTTTCTACTCTGCCGTTAATCAGGTACTATGGTGAGAAATGCAGAATATATAGAGATAAGAGTTGTAGAGAGGATCCACATGACACAGCCCAAACCTTGTGCCACTGAAGGGAGTCAGTACTTTTCATGTCCGTGTTATGAACTATTTTACCAACCACATATTTACTTTCTACTTTAAAAAAAAAAAACAAAAAACAAAAAAACCAAAAAACAAACAAAAAACCACGAAAATGCAACAACCCACAACATTTTAAATTTAACATTTTCATAGGAATTTTCTTTGGAATATTAACTTGCAGTAAAGGAGAATGTACATAATTGACAAAAAAAAGAGGATAAGATAACACACAGCAGTAGCACTTTAAATATGTACTTATTATCCATAGCATAAACTTTTAAAATATTACTATCCTTACTGTCTTGGCTTGGCTTCACTTTCTTATTGTGTGTTATGATGATAGCTTTTTCATATATTATTCTCAATATATGCTGCCATTTCATTGTCTTCCTTTCACTGAGGGATTCTTTGCATCACTTCCTTTGTACACTGTAGCTTCTTCCTCTCTGAAATGTCTTTTACAATATCCGTTGTTTCTTACAAAGAATCAAGAGCCTAAATACATATATATGGAATATGCAAGACCTCATTTGCATATATGCAAATGGAATTTATACTTTTCTGTTTGAACTGCTACACTATACTCTGATGCATTGTTTAAAAGCTTTTCAATGCAGCAGTTCTTTGATTTCCTGAATTCAGCAAATATAACTAACAGTTTCATTTTTTCAGACCAGAGGTAGAAATGCTGTACTACTGGTAATGGCTAATATACAAAAACGCTAATAAAAAAACTACTGGTAATGGCTACTGTACAAAGCTGATAATGTAAAATTTTCTAAATATTGAAAAATGTGGATTCTTCTTGACTAATTGTGAGCTACTACAATGTAGTACTTTTAACTCTTGTTACAGTTGGGGAATGGAAAAAAAACCAAAACCACAACAAAACATGTCTGTCAATCCAGCCATTAATTGTTGCATGCTGTTCTGATGTTTTGTATGAAAGAATCTATCTCATCTTGAGCTGTCAATTTTTCTCCCCTAGCTGCTTGATAATTTAGTTCCTTAAATGACTGAGTTTTCTAATGTTCTCAGCAACATCAAATTTGAGTTCTGGTTTCACCGGATCTCAGTCTCTAGTTCTGGAATTGAATCCCACCTTGTTTGCCAGTTGTATAGCAGACACAATTTTGCTCTCAACACAACAGATGTAACATTTGGACCCAGATATTCCTATGTGGTTTCTTCATATTGTGTTTGTTGTATAAACTAATCTCATCACTTAATCCCATCAGTCTTTCTGTCTTTTGTTTACTCTCATCTGTTTACTCACATCATCATACTTACAAAAACTTCATAGTGTATGAAACAGGCTTCTTGAATTGCAGTGCTTAGTTCCCAGCTGGTGCAGGCAACCGCATCCTGTCCCTTCTATAACATCTGTATGATCCATCTTTATAGTAATGGTGTTGCTTATCTCTAGCACTCCTAATGGAAGGCTGTTCCAGAAAGTGGCAACTCTGATGGTGAGAAGCTCTGTTCTGATTTTCTTCCTGCTTGCGTTCATGCCCCTGTTTGTTTTTGTGTTAGCATTGCCCTGTAGCATTCTTCCTTTGTAACCTTCTTTGACTGCTTTAGAGAGAGCAACCACATCCCCTCTTGACTTTCGTTTTGTTAGGTAAACAAACCAACCCTTTTTACTCTCCTCTTACAAAGAAAGTTTACTCTTCCCCTGACCATCCTAGCTCACTGCACTTGCTCGACTCTCAGGTCTGGATCTTGCCAGTTCAGGTTTCTTATCGTGTGTCTGTGGAGAAGGTTCTAATTTAAGTGTCTGGGATTGGAGGAATTTTTCCTATTGAATATCTGTATAATTTAGTTATTGTGACAGTAATACCAAGAAAGAACTTGAATTAGTAGTGACAGCCTCTGATGCTTACAGCTTTCCCAGGTGATCAGGAGGGGAAAGTGAACAGATTTTTTTTTTTTTTCTTGGTTTTTCGTTGTTTCTGTGTTACGTACAGGATTTGCAATAATACTGAATAGTGACATGGCCTTAGTCAGCTTTGATGCAGTTTCAGTCAGGAGAGAAGACAGGACCTTTCTCTTGTACATGTAATTTATATGTGAAAGGTGTTCTTCAGTTTCTTTAATTAGTAACCTTTCAGTGAAAACTTACGTTCTAAAAGTGTTGGATCCTGTGGGTTTGCTGTTGCAAAATCATTGTGGGAAAAGTTAGGTACTCTCTCCTTTCTTTTTTTTTCTTTTTTTTTCTTTTTTTTTTTTTTC